GACTACATGAAAGTATTTTTTTAATCGTTTTTTGGTCTATGACTTGTCCTAAAGCGATTTTTTCTGTGCATTTGAGAGCCACATTTGTGATCAAGCGGGATTCCTGTGTCGTGTACACGGACGGACGGACGGACGGACGGACGGACGGACGGACGGACGGACGGACGGACGGACGGACGGACAGAAGTGGCGTCAGCCAAGCCATGAAAAATCAACTCGACGGTTTACCATTTTTTCTTAAGGGAGCTCCCTAAAATAATAAATAAATAAATAAATATGAATAACTACCCAATAGGGAGAGCACAAACAGGAGTCAAAGCCCCATGATAGGTACTTACATCAAGGACGCACATTAGTTAAAGTAAAAGAGAATAATCGTGGGTTCAAAATCAAATRTGGCATTAGAATGCTGTTAACCCGCCACCAAGTCCTCTGTTTGAATGTTTAAATTTTGCCTTCTATCGCGTTAAAAATGAGTACGCTTGGTACAACCTTTCACGTTGCTTATGTGCGGTTCCACCAAGACGCAATAATAATCGCTTGACCCTTGCTTGGGACGTTGTTTAGGCCGTCAAAATACCAGTCCAAAGTTCCTGGTTCGCGTGACAACACATTCACAATAGTGAGACCGCACAAACGTCCATGAAACAAGCTGCTGATATATCGTTAAGTTGGTATAAAAATCACCATCAATTAGGACTAGACAATCAAGATGGTCAAGTTGATAAGCATCCACACTTCCCTGGATATGGATATAGTGAATTATTATTAACATCCGCTGTTGCCTGGGGTGGGTGAAAGACAAAAGCCAGAGTAATTAAGGCTACAACTGGAATAGTGCACATTTAAAAGAGAGGGCAAACTCAGAATAATTCTATTATTGAACCTGTCGATCAATATTGGGAAACATGTTTTAACACTGTTAGCACCGGGAAAACACGTGTCTATTTCGTTCTTTCAGGAAATGAAGTCTAAGAGCGCACTCGTTATTGGTGCTGGAGTGATTGGTGCTACGACAGCATTCGAGCTACTTGAAAAAGGGTGAGACTGATAACCGAAAAGGAAGTAATGTAAGGCGTCGAGAGGGGAAAGTTTTATACCGAGGGGGATAAGTCCGATCCAATGATCTCTTTCATTCTCACCTCATCTGAATTTACCTACCAGCCTTTCATAACGGGCCGTTATGAAAGGGCCCGCTGAAAGGCTGGTAGGTAAATTCAGATTACGGCTTTGAATCTATTACAGCAAAATAGGGGATCTATGACAAGTATAACGCTAGTAGGCGAATAAATATCGTGGATCAAAATTAGAGGAGGGGATCACTCGCAATGTAACTTGACCTGTTGTAAACACTAACAAACAGACAGGTAAACAATCAACCAAGTAACTCAAACTAAACTAGCAAGCAAGGAAGAAAGCAAACAAACATACGAGGCTTAAGAGGCAATGTCCACAAGAATC